CCTATACAGCCATACTTTGTAGCAGCCGCCGCACTGGAGCAATCACCCGTCGACCATTTGTCATACTACGTCGCGCGGCTGCTGCTACACCGTTGTCTTGCTGCTGGCGCGCTATCCTGTCCGCTGCGTAAACGGCATGTCATCGTGGCCGCCGTCATGCCAGAGCAGTCACAGAGTCTCCCGTTGGCCGCCGTTGCACCTGCACATTGAGGCCAAGTAGTGTTAGTCCTTGTGCCACAAAAAATAGAGTATTTATAAAATGAAAATTGTGAAGTAGCATTAGAAAATAGTATCGTGTAAATGTAGTAGTATATATATGCACTACTATGTGAAAAGAACGTATGGAAGTACGTGAAAAAAAGTAGTATGTAGTATTGGAGTTTCATGCATGTAGAGGCGTTATCATCAGGATCCATCATGCACCATATTTCTTTCCATATGTGTTTGCTCACGTAGATCTTTTTTCAAGTGGTAATGTGTGGTCGTTGCATTGCTCACCTCGGTGACATCCGCCGCCGTCATCATGCAGTCGCCGTACGTCGTTGCGTCTAATTAACCCTGAGCCGTCATCAACGGTGTCAATCACTTGCAGGTGCTCGCCTCAACAGGCTACTCCCAGACGGTGCTTATAGCCTATTCATCATCTAAATAAAGCAGATGAAAGTTCAAACTTCAAAGAGCAAGCAACGAAACATTGGAACTTGTGGTGGAAGTGGTATCAAACCTGAGTCAGCTAGCGACGTCCTGCCGGCCGAGACGGCGGATGGTGCCACGCGGCACTCACTTGCTTCCGATCTATGGCAACAACATGGATCTATGGCGGCGACATGACAAAAATTCTGGACGTGGAAACATCCATGGAGAGAGAGAGAGAGAGTGAGTCGGGTGGTGGCACACGACGATGCCGGTCCCCTGTCTCCAGCTGGTGATACTCACGACGAGGCCGATCCCCCATGTCCAGCCTGTGCGGGACGCGGCCTTGAGGCAGATCGCTAGATAGAGGAAAAATCGCTTGTTGTTGGTAACAAGAACATACAAAGAAAGCTATTTTTACGTGGAGAAAATTACAGTCAGTTTTTTGGATAAGCTCACGACCAGATAGCTATGGTTAACCATAAAATAAAGTAATTAATGAATTAGTACTAAACGGGTGGAACCTCATCTAACCCGTTAGGATTCTGTTGGCCATCTAGCACGCTTAGATCGGCACATGAGACGAATGGTGGATTCTTAGGTGGTAACTACCACTAGGTGGTAGAATCTATTTTCCATATATAGGACGATAGTATTCGGACACTGGAAGTGTTCCGGGGGTGCCGGGTACGTTCGGGTCAACGGAAGGGGTTCCGGGCAACCCCAGCAAACTACATGGTCCTAATGGCCCAAAAGGGGGACAAACCAGCCCCTAAG